ATAGTTCCTTATCTCTTCTGGCTAACCTCTGGAATTGCGCATTTAACTGGGCATATCTCCCCTTATTCCTGTTTCCTTTTGCTTTCCTCCTTTCTTGGGCTACTTCCAGTGTCTCAGCAGACAACCATTTTGCCTTCTTGGTTTTCTTTTTCTTTGGGACGTACTTTGTTGCCGCATCCTGAACAATGTCTCGGACTTCTGTCCATAGTTCTTCTGGGACTCTGTTTACTAAATCTAGTCCTTCAAATCTGTTCTTCACTTCCACTGTATATTCGCTAGGAATGTTAGTGAGATCCTATCTAACTGGTCTGTGTATTTTCCCTGATCTCTTTAGTTTTATTCTAAATTGGGCAATAAGAAGTTCGTGATCTGAGCTACAGTCAGCCCCAGGTCTTGTTTTCACCGACTGGATGGATGTCCGCCATCTTTGGCTGCAAAGGATGTAGTCAATCTGATTTCGGTGTTGACCGTCTGGTGAGGTCCATGTGTAAAGCCGTCTTTTAGGTTGTTGGAAGAGAGTATTCGTTATACACAGCGAGTTTTCCTGGCAAAATTCTATCAGCCTGCGTCCCGCTTCATTTTGTTCTCCCAGACCATGCTTGCGTGTGATCCCAGTTGTCATTTGACTTCCCACCTTGGCATTCCAGTCTCCTGTAATGAAAATAATGTCTCTTTTTGGTGTATTATCCAGTAGGTCCTGCAGATCCTCATAGAACTGATCTACTTCTGCTTCTTCAGCAGCTGTGGGTGGGGCGTATATTTGGATCACTGTAATGTTGAAAGGCTTTCCTTGCACTCGAATTGAGATCATTCTGTCATTTTTTGGGTTGTATCCAAGCACCGCTTTAGCGAATTTCTTATTAATTATGAAGGCTACTCCATTTCTTCGATGTTCCTCTTGTCCGCAGTAGTAGATCTGGTGGTCATCTGATGTGAAAGTGGCCCATTCCAGTCCACTTCAGTTCGCTGACCCCCAGAATGTCTATCTTTAGTCTTGACATCTCGCCAATAACAACATCCAATTTGCCCTGGCTCATAGATCTTACATTCCAGGTTCCTATGGTGTGTTGATCTTTAGAGCATCGGATTCGTCGTTCACCTCCAGTACCGTCGGCCGCTAGCCTTCCTTTCGGCTTTGAGCTAGCTGCCTCATCACATCTGGGGCTAGTTGAACTTATCCTCTGCTCCTCCCCAGTAGCATTTTGGCCATCTTCCGACCTGGGAGTCCCATCTTCCAATGGCATACCGACATATCTCTGGTTGTACTGGTCCATTTAGTTTTCTTGGCAAGGATACTGGAGTGGTTTGCCATTGCCTTCCCCAGGGATCACGCTTCGTCTGACCTCTCTGCCACAACCGTCCCGTCTTGGGTGTCCCTTCACGGTTTCGCTCATGACATCATTGAGGTGCTCAAGCTCCAGCGCCCCGACAAGGCGGTGATCCAATATGTATACCCAATGGTTATTATTTTTATTAAGGTACATTACTGGTGTATGTGTGAGAGTCCCCTCAAAAATTAAGGTTTCCTAGATACCACATAATTCCCCTTCTTCATTTAAAGTAGCTCTTTTTGTATTCACTTTAGTGACAATTAGAAAAATATATCCCTACAGTGTTATGGAACATATTTAATCTTTCCTTCCAGAAAGAAGGAAATAGTGGCAGAAAGTGTCCTGAATATCTCAAAAATTCATAAGAATAACATGGGCATTCAACAAACATGAGAAAAGAGTAAAGGAGGGCATAATACTGAATGTTATTTATTTTAGTTACAACATTTCTACCCCGCCTTTCTCAACCCCTGAGGGGACTCAAGGCTGCTTTACACATTAGCAACTATTTGATGTCTTAAAACAATGTGCAATTAAAATAAACATTTAAAACAGAATAATAAAATACATTAAAACAATCAAAACATTTTAAACAATACCATCACAATTAATCACGTAATCCAGCCATACCTATGGTCACTGCATATTATTCTATATCTATTTATTGCACAAGTTCTCCAAAGGCTTGGTCAAAAAGCCATGTTTATACACGCTTATGAAAGATCAAGACGGAAGGGGCTGATCAAAATATCCCTGGGGAGAGAATTCCAATCGCGCCTGCAAAAGAGGCAGGACCAAGAGCAGGGCCTCCCCGACAATCTTGAACTCCAAGATGGTTCATAGAGGGAGATACGTTCAGACAGTGGTTCTCAACCTGTGGGTCCCCAGGTGTTTTGGCCTACAACTCCCAGAAATCTCAGCCGGTTTACCAGCTGTTAGGGTTTTCGGGAGTTGAAAGCCAAAACATCTGGGGACCCATAGGTTGAGAACCACTGGTTTAGGGCTTTATATGCTAACGCTAGCACTTTGAATTATGCTCAGTAGCAGACTGGCAGCCAGTGGAGCTGACCTAACATGGGGGTTGTACTGGAGGGTGAGCAATCTGGCTGCCACCTTTTGGACCATTTGAAGTCTTCAAAGGCAACCCCATGTAGAGCACGTTGCAGTAATCTATTCGAGATGTAACCAAAGCATGGACTACCATAGTAAAGTCTGACTTCCCGGGGTAAGGGCGCAACTGGTAAACAAGTTTTAATTGTGCGAATGCTCCGCTGGCCACTGCCGAAACATGGGGTTTCAGGTTCAGTGATAAATCCAGGAGAACTCCCAAGCCACGAATGCATCTTCAGAGGGAGTGTAACCCCGTCCAACACAGGCTGTACCCCTATGCCCTGTTCGGCCTTGTTTTCCAACACATTTGCAAAAAAAAAAAATATCTAGCCAGAACATTTCTGCAGAATGACCCTCAACTTATCTACAGACATATCGAAATTCATAGTTTGGGTTCCAAAACTGTCCTTGATTTATACATGAAGTCAACTTATGCACAAGTATATACGATAGCCTAAACATAAAGAAGGCATCATCCAGACTGGTAATTTGTACCATTTTTACTGCATTATAGCTATATGTTTTTTCTTTATTATTGTTGTTGCTTCCCATTACAAAGGTTATTTTGACTAAAAGAAAAAAATCAACAGAAAGAGGAACATTTCAGATTCTTTGGTGTTAAATGTGGCTATGCCCAATCTCCTCTGATCCTCCAGAATGCAGCAGTCCTCACTGTCTTTGTTTTCTCCCTGGGTGTTTAATTTTTATTACCGTAATTTTTATCTATGCCAAAGCTATAAACAATTATGGTGTTAATTCTGTGGTCGAGGAATATTACTTCCCAACCCTTCCCAACCCTACCCCTCACACACTCAGAAAACTGAGACCCAATAATATTGTCTCAGTATAGTATAGTATATTAGGCCAAAGAAATAAAATATTACTTTGCTTGTAAGACTCCACAATAGTTAAATAAGGTGTGATGCAGCTAAAGATTATACACTATTATACCTTGGCCTAAATTTTAATTAATTTTAATCTTTGTGATGGTCTTTAAGAACAGATATGTGAAAGCAGTATGTTGTGGACATCTGTGTTATTTAATTGGACTTAGATATGGACAGATCTGTGTTCAGAGCCACTTTCTAACGTAAAACTCAGAATTACATTGGATAAACCACCTGCATAAATCTTGTAGTTATTGTTACACAGCAATTCTATGGAAGGATGGAAAGGGTGTGTGCATAGGTCTGTACATAAGCATTAAATAACACTGCGGAAAGGGACATTAAAAAAATAAAACATCACATTGGTATGTTTTCTGGTAGTCATTGGTCAAAGTTTAGAACTTTTTCCCTCCTCTACTTTAAAATCAACATGGTTCATCTCAGAAACTACCTTGCCTTCACTAGTAGGTTTCTCATCAATCCACTGTACTATTTTCTAAATGTAAGCTACAGGAGCCATTGTTTTCCACCAATGTATGCCTTTAATGGCAGACAATAAAGGGCCATTCCCATGGATTTAAAGAGTATCCAATTCAACTGTCTGTAAATTTCATTTAACTCAATGGGATTTAATCTTGATTGCAATTCTGACTTCTGATTAACACTAAATGCAGCTTATTTAATAATAAATACTCTTTGTTATTGATCTTTTAAAAAGTTATTCATAAATTTGTATTTTAAAACTGGTTTCTCTGGATTATAATTAATATTTCCTTTGCTCTTGAAACAAAAATACAAAAGTACAGTAGCAGCTGGAAAAAAAGTGGTCAAAGAGATCCTGGAAAAAAGTTTTGCACTCAATATGTAGCACTGTCAATTCATTAAAATGTCTTCTGGTTTTAATTCCAACTTCCATGTATTTAGTTGAGTGCATATAGCTGTGCCATACCTTCCAACACTTCACAGATGATAATGGGGAACACATGAGGCCAAATGACATCAGAGTGTGGTCAAGATGACAAAAGTTATTCATGAGAAAAAAACAGACAAGCTATGAGAAGCTCCTACAGTTTTGCATAGCTATGAGTCAACTGGGAAAGCTCTGTACCTCTTTTCTTCTCCCTTCCTGTTCTAAGTTAACTAAGTTTGAAGTCACTTTGCCCTAATGGAAGTAAGGACAAAGGGGGAAAGTGATAGGAAATGAAAGAAAATTGGACATTTAAAAAGCAGCTGGAATGTGAAACAGCAGAGTACTGTATTAATGGAGACTACCCTTGCCAAATCAGAACAGGTGGAAAGTATACTAAATAGTCATAGAATCATAAAGTTGGAAGAGACCACAAGAGCCATCCAGTCCAACTCCTACCATGCAATTTTCCCCTGCTGTTTTTGCCTAAGAATAAGCTTGCATACAAGACATGGTCCACTTTCAAGGAGAATGAGCAATATTCACTTGGAAGGTGTGCCACTAAGATCATTAAGGCTTAATTCCAAGCAAGTCTGCTTAGTTTTCTTCATCTCACAATCATAACATTATTAGAACAGAGCAACAAAATATCTAGAAATAAGCAATAAGACTTGTAACTGATAGAAATTAATGAGAGCACAGATTCTTTCTGTAAATTTAAACCAACATAACATCAACATACCAAAATGCAAAACTTTCACTTACCAGACCATTGCAGTTGCTTAATGCTACTTTAGTTGTACCATGCTCGCCATGTAAATATCCCGTGTAATGACAGTTGTCTAAAAAATCATGTTTCCACTGAGGTCCATCTTTCCCCCAGTATTCTACTGTGAAGTGTTTGGATACCAAATCTGTGTTGAGAGTCAGGTTTAAATGAAAGTGCTTGCCATAGGCAGAAAGTTTAAAAAATAAATTAGAAACTGCCAGTTCTTGGTCATAATGTTCAGTACTCCTCTTCTTTCTCCTGGTAGATTTAGTATTTTTCACAGTAAAGCTGAGGAAGGCTCCATTATGATCAACCCTTATTGGGACTGTTAGTTGGTAGTGTTCAAGGTAAGACAGGAATTCCTCTTTGAAACCACACATGGTAAATCAGTCCAAGAAATGGGCATAAAAGAGAAGAAAATATAACAGAACACAAGAAGAAGTACAACATTATCTACATTTTACTATTTCACATTTTGATCTAACAAAAGAAAATTCCTTTACTCAATAATGTATCAAATTCATTAAAAACTTAAATATATGCCTGCGATTATTACAAATTCTGCTCATCTATTTTAAATTGGCTAAAATGTTGTCTATTTCACTGTACCATTTGTAACAGCTAAGGGCACTATTACATTAGCATTCTAAAGTGGAGGCACCTGCTTCTGCCTCCCTCAGAATTCTGGGGGCCTTTGGAATTCTCAGCTAGAGAGGTCCTCGGCTTCCCTAAACTACATTTCCCAGAATTCTGCATGAGAGCAGCACGATAGCAAAGAAGGAGAGCCCACTTTAGAGCCGCCGCAAACTAGCGTCTTGGGAGAGCAAACTGTGCCAGCACGACCGATGACGTCAAAGACTCTGCCTCTTTCTCCGCGGCCGTGTGGTTTTCGCTTTGCTAGGGCAGTGATGCGAGTGTACTCTCACTGTTGAATTCTGTCAACAGCGAGAGTACGCTCGCATCGCTGCCCTAACAAAGGGAAAACCACGCAGCCGCGGAGAAATAGGCGGAGAAAGAGGCGGAGTCTTCGACGTCATCGGTCGTGCTGGCACAGTTTGCTCTCCCAAGACGCTAGTTTGCGGCGGCTCTAAAAATGTTAATGTGATGTTATCCTAAATTTGGCCACTGAAAAAATATAAGGGATTACACATTCACTTAGTAAAAGCATAATTTGTCTGAGAAAAAATAATTTCTATGTATTCAAGGTATTTACAAATATCTGGAAATCCACTAATTTCAAGGGAGCACAAATAACTACAACTGTCATGAATTAGTGTCTACAAGTATCCTTGTGGACATTGCAGATTCAATTCATACACCGTTCTCCATATACACAAAGGATGCCTAAACAAATGTCACTGGAGGAAACTGAGATATGCAGGTGTTTCTCAGTGTGTCTAAATCTTTTTTTTTTCTGTTCAAATTTATAAGGGAAAACTGCACACAGAGAAACTCAACATATCTGTTTAATGAACATGGCACCCTGGACAAAATTCTAAAGATTTCACATCTCTAATGAACACACAAAGACCATGTATCTGCAAATATGTTTTGGGGTACATAAATTAGTTGAATTGCTTAAGCAGCTATTTAATTACTTAAACAATCATTTATTTGTTCTGAAATAACAAGTTAAGACACTGACTTTTAAACTTCTGATAAAGGCATACAAATGTTTGTTCTACTCCCTCAGAGAGCAACCAGTCATACACCTGCAGCTTTTCACAACATATAATAATATTAATCTTAAGGAAAAACTGATTTACTAAATTAAGTGTCAAAAACATTAACTTAAGAAGATAGATCCCTACCTTGAGAACTATATGAAAGCGTGTTGTCACTGTGAAATTCTGACAAAACCATAATTAAGCACAAAAGCCAGGTCAACGTCTTCCACAAAATTTCCATAATTTAGAAGAAGTGGACTACCTATGTGCTACAGCTTTATCTCCACTCCAGCACTGCACCATAACCAGGATTTATTATATTTCTTCAAAATTAGTTATTTGAGGTTCCACTCCTTGATAGCTGTCATGCAAATGTGCTTTTCTTTCTATGTCTGCAGACATTTTCAGTCCAAAGCAAATTTTAAAATTCCTTCACATCTCAATGAGGAGCTAAAGTGAATGGCAAACAAATGTTGTCCACTTCTTTACCTGAAAAGCACAGATAACACAGTAAATAAGTTTAATTAAATCCTAGACAAACAATCAAAATATTAATATTCTTAGGCAGTATTAACTAGGTCTCCATCAAGTTCTTTTTAGCATTAATTTTGTTTGAATAATCCAATATAGTTCCAGTCACGCCTCATGAAGGAAAATATACAGAAATAAAAATATGAGAGAAAGGAGTAGCTTTCCTTATTGAAGCCACTGCAGATTTTAGAAAACATTGGAGGCTCAGTAAGCTATGCCCACCTCCCCTCCCAAGGGCTTTCAAGAAACTAGTAAAGATTTCAAGAAAGATCTGAAAGGTAGATGTTACCCTGACACTAACAACCAGTTCTCTTGTTGTTTTACCAACTCTTTTTATCCTTTTGTCTCCACCTCCTACTTCTTCCAGATATAGCCTGGTAAATTCCTATCATCATTTAGCCAACCATTCATTTATTGAGTGGAAATAATACATACAGAATTACAGAACCTTAGAGTTGGAAGAGGTACAAGGCCATGCAGCCCAACCTGCCACCAACCATAAATAGACCAGCACTCTTGAACAATGTCCACCCAATCTCCATTTTAAAAATCTGTAAGGGAGACTGCACCAGCCTCCAAGGCTCTGTTACAAAACACATTTCTCTTAGAGACTATGAATGTTGGAATAAGCATTAGAGTAAAGCTAATATAGAGATAACACACCTGTATATGAGAAAAATAAAGGAAGAGAATGTTGATAATATGTCAGATCTTCTCATGCAGGAGAATTCAAACAGATTACAGTATTCCCTTGCTGCTTCGCAGTTCACTTACCGCAGACTTGCTGTTTCACGGGTTTTTCCCTCCTGCCAGCCATGGAGTCTGCAGGGGGCTGCTTCTTCCCAGAAGCCCCCTACAGACTCCATGTTGGGAAAGTTTTCCCTCCTCAGTCCTCCCTTCCTCCAGCCTTGAAGGGCCTTTCCTTCCTTTCCTCCGAAGGAGGGGGAAGAGGAGGGGGAAGAGGGAAGGCAAGTCCTGTTGTGCTGGTGGGCGCCCTCCCGCCAGCCGTGCAGTCTTCAGGGGGCTTCTTCTTTCCAGAAGCCCCTTCCATGGTGGGAAAGTTTTCCCGCCACTTGGCCGGATGAGTCAGGGGGCCAGCTTCCTTTCCCATGTAGCAGCCTTAAAAGGCTGCTCTGGGGCTAGCGCAGGCATCGTACCTGCTTCAGCTGAAGGAGTCTTTGGCAGTGGAAATTCTCGGTGGCAGGAAGCAGTGCAGCAGCGACCTGGGATATGACTGCAATGGCAACAGGGTTTGCTTCAGGCCTTTGGCCTGTTTTTCCATTGTTTTGTTTTTGTTTTGTTTTTTGTTTTTTTGCGGCGATGGTGGCTCAGCCAAGGCACTCAGCCCTGGTAGGTCCTGCAGATCCTAGGTCGCATTGAGGCCTCTAGTGGGGCCTCTCACCCCTCCCAGCCCTCATGAGAGGGCTTGGGCCTTCTCTTCCTTCGGCCCGTGCCGGGCCCTCAACCGGCGGGCTTCCACCCCCCCTCCAACTCGTTGACAGCCTGAGCCAGCGGCCCCTTCAAGTCTGCCTTGGCCGCTGCCTTTTGCCTTGTGACCTCTTCCTGTAGCCCACATCCGGAGTGTGTGAGACGGGGGGGGGGGGAGAGTAGTGGGCATTCCTACTTCGTGTATTTTCACTTATTATGAATGGTTCTGGAATGTAACACCCTCGATAAGTGAGGGAATACTGTACTATCATAATAGTAATCACCATTCCTCATTACAGTCAGCCCTCCACATTTGCAGGGGTTGGGGCAGAGAACTCTCACAAATGTGGAAAAAGCTCAAATATCTTCAGGGGTGGGATAAGACTTCCTTGTATTGCCAGCAGCTGGAGAGGTGCTGCCTTCCCTGAAGCTGCAAGAAGTGGTGGTTTCGATTTCAGTGGGGTGTTGACAGCAACTGAAATTGTCACTAAGCCACTCCTCGCAACTTCAAGAGAGGCACAGCAGCACCCCTCCACTTCTCGCCATCAACCCACTCAAAGAACTTGCCAACTGCCCTGAGAACCATATGCACTGGCTATCTTCACAGCCTTTGAATAATCAGATACACACAAATGTCACAACTGTGAATGTGCAAGGCTAACAAAAACACGAATGGCTGCCCTGTATTATGTTCACCTTTGGCCAATCCCACCTTTATTGTGATTTGGCACACATATTTTGCATTTCCATTTTAATTACATTTCATCAGCGGAGAGCCTAATATGTGGTTATTTAAAAAAATCCTATACAGACAAAATATTGCATGTTCTAGCAAAAAACAAAAAAAAAGATGCACTTTTTGCTCTCACATTAAACATTTAGTTATATTTTACAATAGCATAACCTGAATATTTTATTCAGGCAAAATTCCTTTTGGCTGGTGGGAGCAAAATGAATTAAATATTTCAAGTTATACATTTCATTAAAAACTCATGAAACTATAAATGTTATCAAACGTATTACACATGAAGCTTGGTATATTTGCAATGACAAGTACGCATTTAAAATGTTTAAGAGATGGCCACATTATAAACTGTTGGCCCCTACATAATATAAAAACTAATTTTGCTTTGTTTTTCCCAAAATGCTGGTCTCCAAATATTTTGTGCTAATACACAACAGCTGCTCCAGACCTGAAAATGTGCATCTAGTTGTAGTCAAAACAAAACAATGAAAATCATATAACAATTAAGTAAAATGATACCAAAAGCTTTCTTAACAGAAATGCCAAGGTTTCAAGTCAAACTTATGAATGTCAGACAATGTCAGAAACAAAGGGAGGAATTATGTGGACAGTAGAGCAATGTTTCTAGTGCCAGAACATATTTAGAATTACCAGCAGCCTTCTTACCACAGCTAAGAAGAGAATTAATGTTTCCATCCATATGATCTTACTCATTCTCTCAAGTCATCTGGAGAGTTTTTTTGATTTATTTTTTTTTTGCACATCCCATCCATATCTGATGGGCACTTTTGAGAGACCCTCTCTGTGCCTAGATTCAGCTGTGTATTCTTTACCCTACAAAGACAATCAGAACCTCTTTGCTATGACTTTGTCATCTCCTTAAGACATTTGTGTTCTAACAAGCACTGACATATTATTTTTTTGACTTTTCATCTGTTTCCCTGGATGTGTTTCCCTTTAGTGGTTTTATATGTGGTGTTGATTGTTTTTAATAATGTATTTGATTTGGATTATTCCTAAATAAAGAAAAATACAAAACTGGGGAAAGCATTGGCCCAAATAGCTAAAATGAATGACAAAAGTATAAAAGAATGAGAGAAATTGAATAACAAAATTTAACAGGCACAACTTTTGTACACTGTGTGACATGCTTGATAGAAACAACTGTGTGCTAATGGTATTTTAGAAGTACTTTTCTTCATCTTGTGTAACAAGGCAGGAACACTGCAGTCTATCAACATACAAATTAAACTTAATTCATTTTATAATATGTTAAGTGTGTATATTGTTAAACATAATCACCAATAATCTAAGCTGTCGAGAACAATGCCACTCAAAATGATAATCTGTGGAGCAGTGCTGGACTGGAAGCCATCAGCTGCCAGTCTACAATGGGTTTCCAGGAACGAACTGTAGCTAATGGGTACAAAAATGGTAGAGTTCCCTGGAGCATTTTTTTGGCTGGGGGGGGGGGGGAGATTGCCAGTCCAACAAATCAGTAAGTTCCAATGAGCCACTCTGCACAGGGGCAGGCACATATATGCGTATTGCACAGAGACCAAGATTCAGAAAAAAAAATCTTACTGTAGTCAATAAATAGACCCAGATCCATTTATGAAATTTCACTTGTGGCTCAAATGATATATAGGGAATAAGAAGACTGAACATATCTGTATTTTCTTGGTAAGAATCTCAAGGTGATTAACAGAAATTAAATCCTAATTAGATGCCCATAAAGTTACAAACTTGGGTTGTGGGCAGCTCTATCCAATACATCTCAAATAGCTGGATATGTAAAAATGAAAGAGACATTTTGTTTTATGAATTGTATGATGTAATTATTACAGACCCTTAGACACCACTAAGGCAACAAAAGAAAATAATTATAGATAATTAGCCATTTTCATCTGACATCCTTTGCTCCACTCACATATTTTCCCATAATCTTTGAATTGAACGTTCAGACAATTTAATTGTCTCCAACTACCACTAAACTGACTGGAACACCAGGTGGAAAGCTGTGTCAATGTCACAAACCATAACCTTTCCAACTTATAAATTAGTATTGGGGCTCATAAAAATGCTCCTGGAAAAGGAGGAGATCACAGTCTATTTTTTTTCACCTGCACTCATGTCAAAGGCAAGGATCATCCCAGAAGATTCTTTTATTTGGAGAGTCTTATCACTCTTGTTGGTACTCCTAAGTATTACAAGATGACACTGCTTTATTTGCCATAAATCTTTGTCAGAAAAAATAATCTTTCTGGAAAAATCTTAATACTGTGCTGCTGTTTGTTTGTATGTGTCAAATGTTGTTTTACTTTCCATTGGCCTTTCCATTGTCTAGCATGTTCACATATTAAGTTCTAGTTTTTGCCCAAGGATATATTTATTTTTTTCTCAAGTAATGAAATCCTTTGAGTCCATCTTGATATAAATTTTTATTATGTACACTAGTACTGAGTGATTGATAGAGGTTCTATAACTGGCAAAGCCAAAGAAAAGTCAATGTATGTAGGGTTGTTGTACCACAAAGGCTCCTACATGGCTTGACAGATCTGGAACAAGCTTGGAGCACATAACCATCATTATACACCTTAAAATAATTGAGGGGTTTGAGTTTACAACCCCTCCTCTTTTGGGGCACAGAGCTGAGAGAAAGCAAAGGTACAAAGCAGTTTTGACTGTTGCTAGGTGTAGTGATCCATTGTCATGTCAGTAAGAAATAAAGGGAGTCAAGTGGATTGGCTGCTGCTAGGTGACATATGAATAGGGGAGGGAGGGA